AGGCTGACGCCACGGCATCACTCTAGCCTGGCAACAGAGCGAGACTCTATCTCAAAAAAGATTCCTTTTCTAAAATAGCAGCAGCAATAGAAGTCACCATGTGATAAATGTACATAATGTTAGTTATTCTCCAGACCATAGACCATAAAACCCAACTGAAATGGGCAAGTTATGTGGAGACAAAAGAATCACTACCCTCGCACTTCTTCCAAACCTGTTCCGATGTGGCCTACACCTGGGGAAATTCCCCTAAGGACATGGAAGGTACAGGCTAATAACTTTATAGAGAGGTAGAATTCCAGGGCTCTTCCATTTGCCCTTCCTGTAATACTTATAGCCTATGATAGCCGTTATTCCACAACTCAAGCAGTCAGTGTGGAGATTCTGCCAATTGTCTAAGCTTTCCAACCATTCACTCAAAAACCTGGTAATATTAAACATGGGCTCTGTTCCCACGGCTCATTGAAGGTGGATTGGTCAAAACTCCCCATTGTCACCTTGGCCTCAGAATGCCTCTGTACAGACAGGCCCACAGTGATGTTCGTTCCGGCGAATCAGTCTTAGTCACAGCCACGTTTCAACTAGTCCTTTCTCTATGCAGAGTTGCCAGTCATGGCCCCAGGTCCACTCTGTAGGCCAGGAGGAGGTTCGTGATCTATAAGGCCCTGCCTTAAGGTTAATAGGATTCCTCTCCGGTGACTGGGGTTATGAAATGACGTCAGGCCTAGCTGACTGAGAGGCCATGGACTAGCAATCGATGACTGTAGTAAGTGTCCAAAAGGAGCTCAGTAGCTACTGCCCTATTTCGTCCTTAAGTTTCCTAAATGCACTACACAAGACCCCCTGTCGCCACAACGTCACACATCCCCAGCCCTGACTCTCTCCCGGTGCTCACGAACGACAGTGGTGAGTTGCCACCGCTTTTCTCTGCCTCTCCGGATCTCCTCTTTGAGATCAGGAGCCTGTCTCAACCAACACTGTCTCTGGCCTTCAGAGAAGAGCCGCGACAGCTCCTTCCGAATGGTGCCGCTGCCCTCAGGATGCACACGCGAACCAGCCCTCTCTGGAGCTGGTAAGCGACACTTTGCTCTCAAGCACAATTGGTTTGAAGGAGCTTAAAACCAGAATTAATCAGAAATGTGCTGGTGGATGTTGGAAGTGTCGAAGGAAGAGAAGGTTCCCAAGGTGACTCCGGTTTAAGGCTAAGCACATCACTGAGTGACAGGGTGCACAACTGCAGCGGCAGCAGGTGTGGGGTGGCGGGGCTTCCATTGGTGCGTGTGTCCCGGTCCATGCGTAAGTCTTTGGCATCCTTCATTCCTAATTTAATTCTTTGGACACCCCTGAGGGTAAGATCTATTAGCCAGGATTATCCGGGGGGAAGCTGAAGCTCAGACGGAGCTGGTTAACTGCCTACACCTCCCAAGGACTTTGGATGGCACCTACACTTCATCTTAACTAGGGATGAAGAAGATCAAAAGACAAAGTGTTTGTGAAAGTCTTTGAAAAGTTAGCTTGGTGAAAACTCAAAGTCAACTCTGTCCATGGTACCCTTTCTGCTGCAGCATTTGCTCGGCGGCCTCAGCAAACGCTTGTGAAATACGCGTGGCCGGGGCACCTTCCCGAGGCTCAGGAATCTGGTGCAGGTCCACAGCGTGAACACAAGGAGGTGCGAGGTGCCCCCACAATGTGAAGCAAGTGGCAACAGTCGTGGCCGTACTGCCAGAGGGAGATCTGCCGGGCTGCTACATCATCCACCGCTTGTTCAGAACCAGTCCACGGCAGGATGGCATACCCGTGCAGGGGCCAGCTGGGACCAAAAGGGCTGTGTTGTGGGACGCTCTCTGCCTTCCCCTGGGGACAGGGGCTCGCTTCCTCCTCCGCCCAAGCCCCAGCCCAACCAGCCCAGCGGGCCAAGGACATGTGTTGCAAGGAGTCACTGGCATTTTTGCTCCAGGCCCCTGCAGGCTCTGTGCAGTCCACACGAAGCAGAGAAGTTGGGACTCCTGCAAGAGCAGGCCAGGTCCCCAGCACGTCTTAGAGGCCAGCCACGGCATAGCCCTGCAAACCTTCCTCTCTGGAGCCTTCTGGAGCTGGAAAAGCCTCATGGTGTGTAATCCTCAGCATATGGGCAAGAGCTGACTTCAGGCAGAAGAGCCTGGCAGGGGTGTGGACAGTCACTGCATTGTCCAACTCCATGGGTTCTGGCTGGCACAGAGGAAACCCAGGGGTGCACAGCTCCAACAAGCAGGAGTGCAAAGGGTAACGGAAGAGCTGTAGGATGCCCAGGTGAGGAGTCATCCCAGCTACAGAGGGCAAGGGGCTTTGAGCAGAGGGACTGGGAACTGTCCCTTTTTGGTGAGGACTTTCAGTGAGTAGAGGGATCTGAGATAAAGCGGAACATTCATTAGGAAACACAGCATCCAGAGGGATGAGGCCCCATGTCAGCTTACCGCCAGCCGCCAGACCACAGCAGGGAGCGCCTCCAGTCACCAGTGCGGAGCCAGGTTCCTCACACAGCCTTCTCTCCTGCCCATCCTGGGATCGCGTGAACCAGGGGCTCAGGGTGGTGAGGGACGGGACAATATGTCTCAGAAGGGCCTCCACTGTCCCCACACTTGCTCCAGGTCCCCCCAGCTTGGG